GTTCTGTGTCTTCAAGACATTTCCAATTTATGGAGATTCCAAAGTGAACCATGGAGAATATGTGACTTGCCCAAGGTAACCCATAGGTTTCCCCAGAGTGATAGTCCAACATTCAAACCAGTATATCATGCTGGCTCCAGGTACAAATGGTACACATCTCCAAATGTCAAGTTTGTTTCCAAAAGGTACTAAATCTAAATGAATTGAAATGTGAGTTATAGGTGGCAGCACGTAGTTGGCTACAAGTGGAATATTATGTAAGGATCAAAGCTGTCCGAATGTATTGACTCACTTTGGTACAGGGCTTGGACATTTTCATTTTATAGCAACAGAATGCATATCTTCTGCATGTTTTTTGGGGTTCCTGTAAAATTTGTTCAGATGGATTTGGTACCTTTTAAAAACAAACCCCACAAATAAACTGTCAAAAACTTCTCCGAATGTTGCAAACTGATGTTGGGGGTGCTAAGACAAAGAGGACATTTTTGTTTTAGATGAGGTAAACTTGAAAAAAGACAAAAAGTTATGGTTTAAGAATTATATGTTAATTAAAAAAGAATTTAAAGGTAGATTTTATTATGTTATCAGAAACATGTTTGCTGAGCATTATGGATAAACAAATGGATAGTAAATATGAACGATTTCTTCCATACATAGGAACTGCAGCAAAATATTGTCTCCTCAAACTTGGAAGTGAACTGAAGCACCAATGATGAAAGAACGGATCTTTAAAAGTGGCTGAATTAGCTCAAATGTTGAAACCAAAACCCAAGTTAGGATAAACTTCATGACCGAGCAGGGATTTGAATCCTGTTTCCCAGAGTGAAAGATTGAACTGTTTATGTTTATGTGTTGAGCAATAAACAATCTATGGTTATGGTTATTTGTAATTAGCAGGATTATTTCATTTGCTCTGTAATGGATTTTTTTCTTTTGTATTTTTTCTTTTATTACAATTTGGATTGAGGCATCACAGCTTTTTTTTTTTGTTTTAGTTAGACTTTCGTGTTTTAATGTTTTGGTATTTTGCTTTAACTTTAGGTTTAACTATATGGTTTTGTTTAGCTTAGTTTTTTTGTTTTTCTAGTGTAGATTACGTTGATCGTGAATTAGAAAAATGTCCAGTTAGGCTTTCAGTTTTGTGTGTTTAGTGGTGCAGCTTCCTTGCTCCAAGATCAAAAAATGCAAATATTTCTGACATTCTCTCAGAGGTGGTAAGGTGCTGGGGTGAGATGGCATACTGCCACTGTTGTCTGGTTTGTGCCTGTGCGTGGAGTAGCTGAAGTGGCTCTCTGACTCCCCAGCCCTTTATTTCAGCCACCCATTCACCTCCACCTTTTTCTGTGACTGTCCATTCACTCTTCTTACAGGTCTCCAGTCACTCACCCCTTTGCTTGCTTGTCTCCTGTCTCTTTCTCCTGTGGCCAGAACACACCTCGGTTGCCCTGCCAGTGCCAGTCCCTGGGCTTTGGGAGGCTTACTCCTTCTTCTCTTGCTGCCCATGCCTGTTTTATCCAGGCAAAGGAAGACAGGAACTGAGCTCCCCTTCCTTTCTCCACCTGCCCAGTTGCCCACAGTTTCTCTACCTGAGCTTCATTGGCTTTATTTGCTCCTACCCACTGTCTCTGCTGCTCCCCTTTGCCAATTTTCATAGGGATGTACAATCCTCAGTCACACAAAGCTTGCAATTCCTATTAAAAAAATGGTGCAGGGCAGCAGCAGAGGTGGCAGCAAAAAACCTCTCCAAAACCCTGAATAATTCAACCATGGACATGAAACCCACAAAAGTGGAAAGCAGAATAGTTTTCTTTTCAAAAGCCCTGTCAAACATACAACACTTTATGGACTAATCACTCCCAAAATGACTGCTTCAGGAGGTTGGCAACAGCATTTTATTCTTATAGATATTTTTCCTGGTGTGTTTTTAAATGTTAAAAAAGGCACTTCTGTTCATATTATTTATTTGTCCTTTTAAAAATTGTAAGCCTTATGCAGGGAGAAAATTAGATATATGATAAAGGACAGGGTTAATACAGTGTTCACATAACCTGCTGTTAAATTGCTCTTTATCTTCTTTAGGAAGGAAAAAGGGGTAATTTAAGATGCTCAGCAGCATGAGTGGTAGCTTTTATATGGTTGATGTACACCCACATTTCTTAACAGAGTTAAGGATAGGAAACTGTTTTACTGAGGAGAAGACAATCTGGAATTGTACTGATGACCTCTCTGTTCCTTCAGACTTTTTTTCCCTTCAGTTTTTCCTGGAGAAGTCAGGCATCGACATTGAGTGAGCTTTTATGTGCAAAACAGGTCTTCTCTTACTGAGTTACCCTCCTCTCCATGCTTTATGAGTGTGGGTACCAGCATCATGTAGTGGTTTGAGCATTGGATTTGAACTCTGGAGACCAGGTTTTGAATTGCTGCTCAATCATGGAAACCTCCTGGGTGGCCATGAGCAGGTCACACAGACTGTGGCCCCTTCTACAACTGCCGTATAATCCAGATTAGCAAAGCAGAAAATCTGGATTTTATATGGCAGTGTAGAAGGGGCCTAAAAGAAAGGTAATTGCTAACTTATGCTTACTTACTTACTTAGGCGATCCCTTGTTGTCCAAGAAGGATAATCCTCCAGGGTGGGTCCGTAGGTGACTATGGAGCCCTATTCTTGATCTGCATCGTCTCCCGCAGTGAGGGCATTGGTTTCCAGGTAGAAGGCAGTCTCGGATGGGGTTGGCTTGACGCGCCTTCCTCTTGGCAAGTTTCTCTCTTTTGCCCTCCATTCGTGCCTCTTCAAATTCTGCAGCACTGCTGGTCACAGCTGACCTCCAGCTGGAGCGCTCACGGGCCAGGGCTTCCCAGTTCTCAGTGTCTATGCCAGAGTTTTTAAGGCTGGCTTTGAGCCCATCTTTAAATCTCTTTTCCTGCTCACCAACATTCCGTTTTCCATTCTTGAGTTCGGAGTAGAGCAGCTGCTTTGAGAGACGGTGGTCGGGCATCCGGACAACGTGGCCGGTCCAGCAGAGCTTATGGTGGAGGACCATCACTTCAATGCTGGTGGTCTTTGCTTCTTCCAGCATGCTGACATTTGTCCGCTTGTCTTCCCAAGAGATTTGCAGGATTTTCCGGAGGCAGCGCTGATGGAATCGTTCTAGGAGTTGCATGCAATGTCTGTAGACAGTCCACGTTTCGCAGGCATATAGCAGGGTTGGGAGGACAATAGCTTTATAAACAAGCACCTTGGTATCCCTATGGTATCCCTCAATCACTCTCTGTTTCATTCGGAAAAATGCTGCACTCACAGAGCTCAGGTGGTGTTGTATTTCATTGTCGATGTTGACTTTGGTGGAGAGGTGGCTGCCAAGGTAGCGGAAATAGTCAACATTTTCTAATGTGACACCATTAAGCTGTATCTGATGTAAACCTCCTTGGCAGACTTATGCAAACCTCCCTTGTATAAGTCGGCCAAGAAAATCCTCAGATAGGAACACTATAAATTAAAGTTGACTAAGGCCCCTTCAGCTCTGCCATATAATCCAGATTATCAAACAGTTAATTCACATTAATTGCTTTGAACTGAATTATATGAGTCTAGGTAAAGGTAAAGGTAGTCCCCTGACATTAAGTCCAGTCATGTCTGACTCTGGGGTGTGGTGCTCATCTCCATTTCTAAGCCGAAGAGCCAGCGTTGTCCGTAGACACCTCCAAGGTCATGTGGCCGGCATGACTGCATGGAGCGCCGTTACCTTCCCGCCGGAGTGGTACCTATTGATCTACTCACATTTGCATGTTTTCGAACTGCTAGGTTGGCAGAAGCTAGGGCTGACAGCGGAAGCTCACGCCGCTCCCCGGAATCGAACCTGCGACCTTTCGATCAACAAGCTCAGCAGCTCAGTGCTTTAAACCACTGCGCCACCGGGGGCTCCCTATATGAGTCTACATTGTCATTTAATCAAGTTCAACTGGCAAAACATCAGTGAAATAATACTTTAAATACAATGAAACATACATGTATAATAAAGATGTGTTGCGTTAAGTTTGTATTTATTTGCTTATAATTACTCTATTTCAATAATAATAATATATCTTGGTCAGGCCATACCTGGAATATTGTGTCCAATTCTAGGCACCACAATTTAAGGGAGATGTCGACAAGCTAGAATGTGTCCAGAGGAGGGCGACTGAAATGATCAAGGGTCTGGAGAACAAGCCTTATGAGGAGCATCTTAAAGAGCTGGGCATGTTTAACCTGCAGAATAGAAGGTTAAGAGGAGACATGATGGTCATGTATAAATATGTGAGGGGAAGTCATAGGGAGGAGGGAGCAGAGAGCAGGGAGCAGAGCTGTCCTAGAGACTAGGACGTGAACAATGGCTTCAAATTACAGGAAAGCAGATTTCACCTGTAACTGTGAGAGCTATTCAGCAGTGGAACTCACTGCCCCAGCGTGTGGTGGAGGCTCTTTTTTTTGGGAGGATTTTAAGCAGAGGCTGGATGGCTCTCTGTCAGGGGTGCTTGAATGTGATTTTCTTGCTTCTTGGCAGGGGTTTGGACTGGATGGCCCACAAGGTCTCTTCCAACTCTATGATTCTATATAAAGTAATAGAGTTTATGGCGTAGTATAGTATGGGATATAGTATTAGTTAGGCCTATTTTTAGTAGTTTCTCTCAAGCAACCAGAAACTACATTTATCTGGCATCTGCCGATCTCCATGGGTGCTGGTTAACATAGGCTAGATCTACACTGCCCTATACCCCATGATCTGTTTATTCCAGATTATCTGGCAGTTTGGACTCATATAATCTGGTTCAAACCAGATAATCTAGGATCAGATTCTGGGTTATAGGGCAGTGTAGATCCAGCCTGAGTGTCTACTGCATCTTTAATACAGTCAAAGGTAAAGAAGATTGCTGGGAACACTGTTATCTGAAATTTGTGTTATGTTCTATAACATTCTCTTTTTCTGATTATCTGATTTCTGATTATCTTTTTTCTTTTACAGTCTATTGTGTGTCATGTAGAAAATGGTATGTATACATAAAACAAACATTTTAGATATTAACTGTGCAGCATAGTATATGGGTTATATGCTTATTGTCATTGTCTCTATTTTGTATGTAGAATCGACCAGTCCTAATCATTGTTCACAAAGGCTTAAAATTATTTGTTTGGGGGGGGGGGGGGTTAGGATGAAAAATAGAGAAAGATTGTGAATTAAGAAATGAAGAACAAACGATTGAAATTTAATGTTCTCTTTAGGAAGCACTAACATAGTCAGGTGTTGTTTTTTTTTTTTTTTTTTAAATGTACTACTTTCTTCATTATTTCAAGAGAAAGAATGCTGTTTGGCCACATTAGCCACCATGCTATGATACTATAGGAGTTGAAGTATTCCAGGGTCTTTAGCCTTCTCTGCCAGAGTGTTGGTACCTCACCAAACTACAAATCCTATGGCTTCATAGAATTGAACCATGGCAGTTCAAGTGGTGTCAAACTGCATTAATTCTATCGTGTAGATGCATGCCTAGTCTCACCCTCATATGCACCAACTTGGTGTCCAGAAGGAGCATCTGGCTATTTTTTTTAAGTGAAAAAACATTTTTATCTAGGAATATCAGCAACAGATCCACTTTTCCTTCTGAACATAAGTTACTTTTCTCCTTAAAATTCTGCATCTCATCCTCTTAAGCCTATGAATTGTTGTTTATTTGTTCAGTCACCTCATGGACCAGCTCACGCCAGAGCTCCCTGTCGACCATGGCCACCCCCAGCTCCTTTAAAGTCAAGCCAGTCACTTCAAGAATGCCAGAATTAAATACTCTAATATTCCAGTTGTTCATATAAGATTTTTTCTGGGCCTATAAAACTTACATGCTAACCAATGCTCATTGTTTTTAAAGCTCATCGCAAATAGATGATCCCTCAAAAAGCACAAAATTCATAATCTTCTATTTTGCAAGGGCCTTCTCCTGAGTTGTGGTGGAAGCACGATTTCACACCATCAGATCTTTTTAATATCAGTGCCGAGATTGTTGAAATGGATGGGACATGCCAACTTAATATCACCTGGATTCTGAAGGCAGATGGTAAGTCTGATTGCAGGGCAATGGAGATATGGCAAAACCACTGCTCTCCACTTGGGGCATTTTTTGTTGTTGTGTCAGGAGTGACTTGAGAATTGAGAGAATTGGCCGTCTGTAAGGACGTTGCCCAGGGGACACCCGGATGTTTTGATGTTTTATCATCCTTATGGGAGGCTTCTCTCATGTCCCCGCATGAGGAGCTGGAGCTATTAGAGGGAGCTCATCCATGCTCTCCCCGTATTTGAACCTGCGACCTGTTGGTCTTCAGTCCTGACAGCACATGGTTTAACCTGCTGCACCACCGGGGGCTCCTACTTGGTGCAGTGCAATGAGACAAATGGTGTCCTGAGATGGTTTTAAGCAATTTTAATGTGAATATAAGTGATTTTAATGTTTGTATATATTTATGGTTTTATGTCCCGACATTGACTGTTTGCCGTATATATGTTGTGCTCCGCCATGATCCCCCTACAGGGTGAGAAGGGCAGAATATAAATGTTTTAAATAAATAAATAAAAATAATAATAGATGCCCCAAGCAAAAAATAAAGATTGTAATAGAGAACAGCATCAAATCAAATCAAAATATTTATTTCGGTCATTGACCAGCACAAGCACAGCATCTACTTGGGGAATAATCTTAGGGTGCATCTACACTGTTGAATTAATGCAGTTTAGCATCACTTTAATAGCCATAACACAGTGGTGTGCAATCCTGGGAGTTGTCATTTTACAAGATATTTAACCTTCTCTGCCGAAGAGTGCTGGGGCCTCACCAAACTACTATAGCATTGAGCCATGGCGGTTAAAGTACTGTCAAACTGCAGTAATTCAGTAGTGTAGATGTGTCCCATAATAGCAGAGTAAAGGCTTCCATTGGAGTTTTAGAAAAGGGAGAATATTTGGAGTAAGGGTTAAAGTTTTTTTTAAGTAGAATACATTTATAATGAAATGGAACAGGAGGAAATAAAAGTTTTATTAGTGCATTTTAGGACCATTTGTTCCAGATACTTCCTTTTCAAATCCAATAATAGAGTCATTTTACCAGTCCGGAACAGAATCATTTTAAGGGAATTTATTTATGCCTTAGGCATTTTTGGTCATTGTTTAGTCATTTAATTTTTTTTAGCATACAGCAGAGGGATGCCTGAATGGCGCCATTATATTATTTTCGTCATTTACAAAAGCATGAGTGAAACAATAAATGGAAGCAAATATATGCCCTACCTATATGAAGAAGTTCCCCAGAACTCATTTTGAGCCAGTGTTACATTTCCTGATAGAAACTCTATTTCTCTGCCAATTCCAGTTTTAGCCTGTCATTTCCTAAATACCCTTCCATGATCTGATTGTGTCTGTGTGATCTGATTTACAGAAGATTTTAGCTATGCTAAAATCTTCTGTAAAAGAAAGACAGCTAGATCAATATATACTATGCGTAGATAAGGAAAGGATTACTCTTTGCACTTCCATTTTCAGTTTTGGGAATGGGAATTCATGTGAATCTGCATTTTGTGACATGGGGCAGGAAAATTGTGATCTAATATGTTTGTATGTGTTGTATTGTGTTAGCATATATTGTATATAGTAATATAATTAGTATATATTGCCTATAGTAATGTGTTTTAGTGTTTGCAATGATTATTGTTAGGATGTATGAAAGCATCAATATAATAATAATAATAATGCTACTGATCCTTTTATAACTGATTCGGCTGCCGCTAGATCTATCATATTTTTTATCTTGCCTCTAGATCTCTCCCCAAATATGATGCTCAGTGGTGTGATCCTATGCACACTTTCGTCATTTTGGTGTAAAATGTACATAAACAAAAAGCAATTTGCGAGTAAATATTCCCATAAAGTATATGTTCTCCTCAAAACTCTTAGGGCCCTTCCAGGCAGAGCTTTTACCGTGCTTTTACCGAAGGCATCCAAACGATGCCTCCAGTAAAAGCAAATTGATTTGATACAAAGCAGGAAAATCCTGCTTTATCGTGAATTACTGTATATTCCGGGGTACTAGACGACTTTTTAGGCATGTAAAACCTTATAAAATTTTGGGGGTCGTCTAGTACGCCAGGTATAAAATTAAAATAATAATAAAATTACATACTATGTCTGCTTTGGCCTTGGGCTCCCCTCCTCCTCTTCCACCTTAGCTCATGGCGGCCTCCCGGGCAGGCTCTTCATCCTTCCTCCCTTCCTGGCTGCATTCCTTGCTCAGGCCCAGGCCTCTCATTTGTTGGTGGCCGGTCCCCTGGGCTACTTCCTGCGCTGCTCAGGCCACTCTCCTTCCTGGCCAGGCCTCACGAGAAGTGCCTCTTCTCTGGCGAGACAACATTGTCTTGCGGGAGAAGAGGTGCTTTGCGTGAGGCCTGGCAAGGAAGAAGGAGAGCAGCCTAATTGGAAGGGCCTCCGGTGCTGCTCAGGCCGCTCTCCTTCCTGGTCAGGCCTCGTGCAAAGCGCCTCTTCTCCCGCGAGACAATGTTGTCTCACGGGAGAAGAGGCACTTCTCGCGAGACCTGGTCAGGAAGAAGGAGAGGGGCCTGAGCAGCGCAGGAGGCCCTTCTGGAGGCAGTGCAGGAAGCAGCCCAGAAGCCCGAGGACAGAAACCACCTGGCTGGTTTGGGGAGTCGTCTTAAATGGCAAGTATATCCCCAACTCTCTATTTTGCATGTAAAAGTTGGGGGGTCGTCTTATAGCCCCAGTTGTTTAATACCCCGGAATATACGGTAATTAGATAGCCCATTAGATCTGGGCCTTCTGGAAGGCCTGGTTCTAATGGGCTTTGGGCCCTGAAGGGACAGACTCCTGGGACTGCTTCCACAGTCCCGGGAATCCAATTTGCTTCTTTGGGCTCAAAGACCCCGAAAAAGTGAAGAGGGCAGCCACCCCCTCCCCAGGTCCCTCTCTAAAAGTTATAAATATGGGGAAACTTACAGGGCCTCTATTAGGTCTCCGGAGGGCTCCTGAAATGTACCAATGTTGTATTGCTCTTGTTATAGTTTTATATTATATATTATTGTTTTTAATTTTTATGGTGTTGTTGAACATTGAATTGTTGCCTCTGTAAACCGCCTTGAATCATCTGAGGGCTGAAAAGGGTGGTATACAAATACGGTAAATAAATAAATAAATAAATAAATAAAATACTAGGAGGCAGTGGGGGGAGCCAAACCAGCCTCCTTGTACAACATTGGAACATTCCAGGAGCCCTCTGGAGGCCTAATGGTGGCCCAGTAAATTTCCCTGTATTTTTAAGACTTTTAGAGGGGGATTTGGACTGGCCCCCACTGCAGCTCGATAGTTACCCACAGAAAAGCTCATTTTCCCCCTTGGTTGTGGGGACTTTAATCCTCTTTGGAGTGGGTTTCTTAAACCCACCCCAAAGCAGGTTTAATGTATGTCTGGAAGTGCCCTTAGTTGAAACCTTTGTAGAAAAATTGTGGTGCTTCTTTGCCTCACTTTCAGTGTCTTTCATTTTATGGTTCCTGCTTCATTTGCATACACAAAATACTCTGATTTACATATGGAAAGATAATTTGCATATAACAGATGTGCTTTTACCACCATTCATACTGCACAGACACACAAGGCAGAAAACAGAGATCGCAATGAAATGTAGTTCTGCTACTGTTGAACTATTCATTTAGAACATCTTTTAGTAGCTTTTATCTGAAATAATCTTGAGTCTTCTATTTCTTTCCCGTCTTCCTCATTTCCAGCTGGCATCTTCTACCTGAATGCCACCAAAATATGTGTGACACCTGGAAAACCATACTGTGTTAGATGCCGTTACACAGAAAAGTTTCAAAACCTAACCAGACCTGATCTTCAGAATGTAAGTGTATTTTTAAAGGTTATGGTACTATGCCATTCTTGGATTGTTGTTAACTGTGGTCAAGTCAACTTTGATTTATGGAATGCCCATGAATGAGAAGCTTCAAAATAACCTGATCTTCAACAGTCGTGCTCATGTAGTGGCTTCCTTGATTGAATTGATCCATCTGAAATGCAGTCTTTGTGATTTTTCTGCTGCCTGCTATCTTACCAAACATTATTGTTTTTTCGAGTTAGTCATCTCTTTTTATAGGAGCCTCCGGTAGCGCAGTGGGTTAAACCCCTGTGCTGGCAGAACTGAAGACCGACAGGTCGCAGGTTCGAATCCGGGGAGAGCATGGATGAGCTCCCTCTATCAGCTCCAGCTCCTCATGCGGGGACATGAGAGAAGCCTCCCACAAGGATGATAAAACATCAAAGGGACTTCCAATAGCGGCAAGATGGCAGCCGCCACGGTTTGCTGAGGCTCCTCAGCAAAACTGACCTACTACTATTTCCCGGTAGAGCACTGGCTCCCCCAACCCAACAGCGAGAGGTGGGTTGGCGCATTCAGTTGGCAGGGTTTTTTGTTGGTCACAATAAAGGACAGAAGAGCGACCAATACTACCATACTGCCAAACCGAGCGGAGAGTAGTAAGGACACCCGGCGAGAGCCTGGGAGGACGCCAGCCACTATTTTAGATGTTAAGAAAGTCAAGCTTCGCTTTGAAAAAGAAAAACTCTATTCAAGAAAAAAGGTGAGCTGGCCAGCCTTAATTTTCGCCAGACCCAGACCTGAACAGTAAATACCGGAGAGAAAGAAACGACTCACTCCATTCTTACCTTCCTCCCCCTCTCTTTCCACCGATAACAAATGCCGAAATTGCGGCGCTGCGGAGCCGAAGACCGCCAGACCGCCAACCACCAGCCCGCGGGTATATTGGTGAGCCGGTGGAGCTTGCGAGGCTGGCGGGGCGGCGAGGAGAAACAGAGGAGCAAAGTAAAGCGTAGAGCGCAGAGCAAAGAAGTAAAGTAAAACAACAAGATGCAAAGGTCACAAATAGTCGCAAACCGTAAGCAGTAAGGCCGTAAGGTCGCAAGTTCCAAAAGTCGTAAAGCAAGCTGCAACGCAGAGTACAGGAAAGCAGGAAGCAGCTGGAGGCGAAGAGGAACGACGCGGACCCGAGGTGGGAGTGGTGAGAGTGAGGAGACACGGGATCCAACAGGAGCGAGAGGGGAGAGAAGGGAGACGAGGCGGGAAGCAAGAAGCAAGAAGCAAAGCGGGGGCCTGAAGGCAAGGGGAGACAAAGAGAAGGAGCCATCCTCAGAATCAAGAGAATCCAGAGTATTCAGGAAAGAAAAGTAAAGAGTCAAAAGTCAGCGTTGGGAGAGGGAGAGGAGAAGAGGAGGCGGAGTGGAAGAGAAGGGAAAGACAGAAAACCCCAAAGGAAAGCCGGCGTGAGTAATTAAGATACTTGACTCTCCCCACTCATTTAACAAGCTTAAGCCCCTTTCTACGAACTTGTTCTTAAAAACCCATAACTTGTAACTTTGCCACACTCCTTTTGGCTTCGAGCTCCTGGCTCTCGCCCTGCTTGGGATTGTAAGCTCCCAGTACGGACCTTTTGTATCTCCTATCCTGACTTTACCTTGCCTCTATACCTCGTATCTCCTTAGCGAATCCACCAAGCGTGTACAGAATCTGGATAGATCATTGCTGAGGCAAGGTGACTCAATTACGTTGGGCTTTACTAAAGAAGACTTTATCTTGGGCTTTTTTTGGGGGAGGGGCTTTTCTAAAGAAGACTTTAACGGACTATTATTGTACTATTGAAACACTGGCCCCAGTTGGGTCAGACATAGACAGGAATTAATAGGCGAGGAAAGACTCTTAAAGCAGAGGAAAGCCAAAAGAAAACTGAAGGAGAGAGAACAGACAAGGGGTCTCTCTTGGGTGTGTTTGCTTGCTTTTTCCCCCCTCTTCTTCTTCTCTCCCTCTCCCTTCCCTTTTCCTTTCCTCTCTCTTCTATCTCCTCTTTTCCCCCTTTTTTCTCTCTGCTTCCCCCCCTTTTTTTTCTTCTTCTTTTTTTCTCTTTTTCTTTTTCTTTTTCCTCTCTTCTTCTCTCTTACCCTTCCCATTCTCCCTGCTCCCTTTTCCATCCAAACTCCAGAGCATCATAATATATAACAACAGAGATCGACGCAGGCACTGTTGGAGACCAAATGTTATAATCTACTGTTATACTGCCAATTTATGCAAACTATAAGACTCCGGGCAAAACTATATTGAATAACAAAGACCATTCACGCTTGGCTTAGAGCCGTACCCTTTAAAACTTTGTATCTATATCCTCACTGTATTGTATTGTATTATCTTATATTATTGTATCATCTTGTATTACCTTGTATTAATATCGATGGTATCATCATTGAACTGATCAAGTGCCTTTAGTAAAGATCAAATTCAGATACTAAAAAAGACAGAACGTAGAAAAGAGGGAGAAAGTTAAGGGAGATCAAAAGAGATTTAAGGGACCATAAAGGTGAGAATTCTACACGACAAAATAATCACGAGAATCAACCAACCCAGAACTTAATCCGGAGTCTTAACAATCTTGAAAACGAAGAGAGAAAACATGGCCACCTTACCAAAAGGAAAGCAGGAAAAGAACAAGGAAAAAGATAAAGACAAAGAACAAGACAAGGAATTGGAGAAAAAGGGTCAACTCAGCGCCAGGAAGGCATCTCTACCGGAAGAACCCACAATCAAAGATCTTATGAGAGAAATACTGAAAATACAGTCAGAAATAAAAATGATCCAAAACAATCAAAGCAACCAAGATACACAAGGGAAAGCTATCCAAAACGAAATGGAAGTAATAAAGAAAGATATGAAAGATATGAAAGAAGAACTACAATCAGTATTTAAAGAAGAAATGAGCTCAGTAAAAAACGAAGTAGAGAAACTAAAACAAGAAAACACAGAATTACTTAAAGAAAATACCACAATCAAGAGCCACCAAGAGGTTATGAAGAAAAAAATAAAGAGCTTAGAAGAAATAGTAGACCAGGTTAAGAGTCAACAAGAAGCGTCAGAAATTAGGGAAAAGGAATTTCAATTAAGGTTTAGAAATATAAAAGAGGAAGAGGAAGAAAACATAAGAGAGGTAATAGTAGACATGACAGCACAACTAACAAACAGAAACAAATCCGACATTGAGCCAGAGGTAGATAGGGTCTTCAGAATACAAACTACACCTTCGAGAAAATTCAAAACACCTAAAGATGTAATTGTCCAACTAACAAGGAAAAGCACCCGTGATGGCATTCTAAAAGAACATTCCAAGTCGCTTATTCAGTATAAAGGAAACAAAATCGCAATTATGAAGGAAATTCCATCATCTGTACTAGAAAAGAGGCGCAAATGTTATTTTTTGACCGACGAGCTCAAAAAGAGAAACGTTAGGTTCAAATGGGAAAAGAGTGAGGGCCTCGTAGTGACCTGGAACGACAACAAATACTGGCTAACATCTGAAGCAAAAGCCTTCTTTAGGTATTGGGATAAATACCTAAAGAAGAAAAAAGAAGGGAAATACGAGCCAAGAGACGAAGAAGGTAGAGGAAGCTTTTCTCCCTATAGTAGGGAGAGGGACGATAACATAGCAAATAAACTAACCCTCTCTGACGATGAAGAAAATGAAAAAGGAAGGAAGAAACCGAGAGAGATATCCCCAAAGGATTACATTGTCCCAAGAAGGGAAGGCGAAGACAGACAGGGATTACTTAGACAAAAAAAACAGTAACGATGACAGGAAAAATTAGGATATATTCAAATAATGTGAATGGGCTGAACAGCCCAAGTAAGAGGAGGAAAATATGGCACCACTTAAAGAAATGTAAATATGATTTAATTTTATTGCAGGAAACTCAATTTCCAATAAACACATATCACACCTAGAACAAAAAACGCTGGGAAAATGTTATTACGCATTGTATTCTGAGAAAAAAAGAGGCCTTGTAACGTATGTCACCGAAAATATCCCCTCGAATCTAGCATTTAAGGATACTGAGGGCAGAATGTTAGGAGTATCAATAACTGTCGAGGACAAGATCATTCTGATCTGTAATATATATTCACCCAATTATTCCAAGGGCAATTTCATTAAAATACTGAGGGAAAAAATAGCAGATACAGACTATGACGATCTATTACTTATAGGCAATTTTAATGGGGTAATAGATGTAGCTAAAGACAGATCGATCCAGACACAGAAAGCGAAACGTAACAAATCAGGGGCCTTACCAAAATCATTTTTAGATCTAAAGGAAGAATTAGGATTAATAGACCTATGGAGATACCATCACGAAAAAGATAAAGACTTCACCTTCTTTTCCAGTAGACACCGTACATGGTCGCGCATCGACATGGCGTGGGTGACTAAAACAATTATACCAAGTACGACGAAGAGCACGATACTTCCCATGCTAAACTCAGACCATGCACCCATAGAAATATCAATCCAAAACCAACAAGAAAACGGGAAAAACTTCAGGTGGCGACTAAATGATAATCTACTTTCATTAGTGGAAGAAGTAGAAAAGAACAAAGAACTATTGAAAGAGTATTTCAATTTAAACACAGAAAAAGACACCTCAATCCAAATCATATGGGATGCGCACAAGGCCTTCATAAGAGGCCACTTGATCGAACAAGCTGCAAGAAAAAAGAAGCGCAGGAACGAAGAGTACAAAAAGTTAGAAAGGGAAATTGCAAAAGTGGAAAAACAACTAAAGGAAAACCCAAAGGATAAGAAGGCATACCCCCTTCTAGAAATACTAAAGAAAAATATGAACACATTACAGCTAGAAGAGATGGAAAAAAAACTGAAGTATGCTAAACAGTACCACTTTGAAAACACGAATAAAATAGGGAAAGCCCTAGCAAAAAAAATCGCAGCTAAAAAACAGAATAGGCAAATTACCAAAATAGTAGACGGGGAGAAATGTCTCTATAAGACAAAGGAGATCATAGACCAATTTACAAGTTACTACAAAAAACTCTACGAAGATGAAAAGATCCCAAGAGAAAAAATAATGCACTATCTAGGAAAACAAAACATACAAAGATTGACAGATGACCAGAGAGAGAACCTAAACAAACCAATTTCTAAAGAAGAAATCCAGAAGACCATTCGAAATCTCCCGACAAATAAAGCACCAGGTCCAGATGGCCTCACAACTAGGTACTACAAAACCTTTCAAGATATACTAATTCCACAACTCCTCAAAGTCATGAACAGAGCCATGGAGGAGGGAGAGCTTCCAGACACTTGGAAATCTGCAACAATCTCACTGATTCATAAAAACAATACAGACAGCACATCAGTCAACAACCAGCGCCCAATATCATTACTCCAAACAGATTATAAGATATTTACATCAATATTAGCCTCAAGACTAACCGAACTGGCAACTTCAAGAATACAAGAGGATCAGGTGGGATTTCTTCCAGGACGACAGCTGAGTGACAACATCAGAACGGTGATCAACGTGATCGACTATTACGAAAAGAACAACCAGAAAAAAGCTGCCTTGATATTTTTGGATGCCGAGAAGGCATTCGACAATGTCAACTGGAATTTCACAATAGATCTACTAAGAGAAATGGACATAGGCCATCAATATTTAAATGCAATCAGAGCTATCTATACCCACCAACTGGCAACAATAACAATAAATGGCCAACAATCAGAACACATAGTAATTCAGAAAGGGACCAGACAGGGGTGTCCCCTTTCCCCAATACTTCATTCTAGCATTAGAAGTTCTTCTACAGAAAATATCCACGAACAAGGAATTGAAAGGGCTTAAGGTTAAGAATCACATCTTTAAAACCAGAGCCTTTGCGGATGACCTGGTTTGTTTTGTGGAAGACCCACTAGAGAACATAAACATGTGGTTATCAGAAATAGGCGATTTTGGAGAAGTCTCGGGATTTAGAATAAACAAAAACAAGACACAAATAATCACTAAAAATATAAAGAATGAAGACAAATCAAAATTACAGGAAATATCCGGAATCAAAATAGTAAAGGAAGTTAAATATCTAGGGATAACCATATCATCGAACAACGCACATCTGATCAAGAACAATTACGAAAAGTAATGGAAAGAAATGAAGAGGAAAATGAACTCATGGAACTGCTTAAACCTTTCTCTGTTAGGCAGGATTGCCTCCGTCAAAATGAACATCCTTTCGGACGTCTTATTTTTATTCCAGACGTTACCCGTCTTAAAATCCAAAACATTAATTAGTAAATGGCAAAAAGAGATCTCTAAATTTAATTGGAGGGGTAAAAAACAGAGAATAAATCATAAGAATGACCGACGACAAGAAAAGAGGGGGCTTAGCCCTTCCTGACATGCAACTCTACTACGAGGCAGCAGTCCTGCGATGGGCGAGAGACTGGATGACGCTGAGCAAAAGGAAAATACTGAGCTTAGAGGGCTTCGATTTGTCACAGGGCTGGCACGGATACTTGTGGAGGAGGAAAGCAGAGAAAGAAAAAAAGTTTAAAAATCACCCAACCAGAGCCTCCATCCTGCAAATATGGAACAGATACAAAGACAGGCTATATAGCAAGACCCCCCTTTGGTTTGCACCCAACGAAGCACTCCACTTGAGGGAACTACCTAGAGAACATTGACTAACGTACGCCCAGTTATTAAAGATAAGCGCACATGAGATCAAGCTGAAATCCCAGGAAGAACTCAAACAATTAGATCAATCCATTTCTTGGTTTCAATACCACCAAATATTAGAAAACTTCAAGATAGACGCGAAGAGAGGATTTCAAACCCAAGAAACATTCTGGGACAAGATAATGAAATCAGAAAAGAAAGCAATCAAAAAAGTATACCAACAACTGCTAACATGGGCCACGGAAACAGAACAGGTGAAAGGAGTTATGATATAATGGTCAAAAGATATAGGAAGATCAATACACATGACAGAATGGGAGGAAGTGTGGTGCAATAAAATAAAATATACTTACGCAGCGGAGATGAAAGAGAATTGGTTTAAGTCTTTTTACAGATGGTACCTCACGCCCGATAAAATATCTAAGTTTAGCAGAGATAGAATTAGAGATGTCTGTTGGAGATGCGAAAAACAAAAGGGTAACTATATCCACATGTGGTGGAAATGTAAAAAGGTCAAGTCCTTTTGGTGTGAAATTAAAAAAATAATGGAGGTCATTTTAAAGGAAAAAATAGAACTTAAACCGGAGGTAATGCTGTTGGGAATCATCGACTCCATTAAGGATAAGAACTCAGAAAAACTTTTTTTTTACTTCACCACTGCTGCGAGAATAGTGGTAGCTAGAATATGGAAATCCAAGGAGGCACCAACTGTGGAGCAATGGTTACTGAAAATATGGGACATCATGAATATGGACATCCTTACCCAAAAAATGTCGCAGAGCATAGCAAAAACCCCTAGGACCAACTGGGAGGGCTTTCTAGAATACATAAAATGGCTATATAATGAGATACATATTAGTACTATACATTAATGAAACTTGAAGGTATAGTAATAGGAAACTGGCGATTACACTAATACCAATATAGACAACAGAAAAGAAAAGGGGATTAAAGTATAGCTTACTCCCCGGTGCCTGACCAGCAAAACCTGGAAGTATTTTAAAATTCACTCGGGGAATAATTGTTGGTGTTGGTAAGTGTTGTTATTGATTTGTCGTTGTATTGTATTCAGTTGTATGTTTGTCTATCCATTTGTATGCTTGTTTGTATTGTCTCTTTGCACTAATACACTTCTCTTCTATCAGCTCCTCTAAGAGCACTATATTCTAAATAAGCATATTAAAAAAAAATAACCCGATCTTCAACAGTCGTGCTCATGTAGTGGCTTCCTTGATTGAATTGATCCATCTGAAATGCAGTCTTTGTGATTTTTCTGCTGCCTGCTATCTTACCAAACATTATTGTTTTTTCGAGTTAGTCATCTCTTTTTATAGGAGCCCCCAGTAGTGCAGTGGGTTAAACCCCTGTGCTGGCAGAACTGAAGACCGACAGGTCGCAGGTTCAAATCCGGGGAGAGCATGGATGAGCTCCCTCTATCAGCTCCAGCTCCTCATGCGGGGACATGAGAGAAGCCTCCCACAAGGATGATAAAAACATCAAAACATCCGGGCATCTCCTGGGCAACGTCCTTGCAGGTGGCCAATTCTCTCACACCAGAAGCGACTTGCAGTTCTCAAGTTGCTCCTGACACGACAAAAAATCCCTCTTTTTATTTATGTGGTAAAAATGCAATAGTCTCAAATTATTCAACATAGTTTCTATTGAAAATTCAGCTTCATAGGACCCATTGATTTGTCTTTTAACAGTTCACAGTATCAGTAAAAGTAGTAGTAGTAGTAATGAATTATTATCTACCTTTCCCTGTGGCTTGAGGCAGGGTACAACATTATTAAAACAAGAGATAAAACACTATTAAAACACATACAACAGGATACACAGAGTTAAAATACAAGTTAAAGTCACCAATGAAATGCAGGTTAAAATTCACAAGCTAAAATTGACTGGATAGGTCTGCCGGAAGATATAGGTCTTAAGTTGTATCTTAAATTCTGAAAGCACATCAATAATCCTACAGCCTTATCAGCAATTCTTCCACCAAACTTTCTTGTAGGACCCTCCTTGGCATCATGTCCAACTCAATACTTTTTTTTGGCACAAGGCTGACACTAATGGAACGTGGAAAAACAAGAAATATGATATTTATTTATTTATTTATTTATTTACTTCATTTGTTGACCGCCGTTCTCAGCCCTAGGGCGAGAATATTGCACAGTACTTTTGCTTGTATTCTGGCATCTTCATTTTACTTGGATACAAAAATACAGCATAGTTTGGAAAACTCTGAAAGGACAGTATGACCTTGAATGCTTGTTTCTTTTCAGTGGCAATTTCACTATATTGGATTTCCGGTAGAAGAGAATAAAGAGTACATGATTTCTGCTTATAATCTACCACCAGCAAATTTAAATGAAGATCATCCAAATAAAATAGCATACCTACATTCTCCAGGTAACTGAACAAATACTTCTGCAATAAATTCATCTGACAATTACTTTCCTATAATACCGTAGTTAAAAGGAGAGCAACATTTGATACCATTAATATGTATGTTACATATTACAGCACAAGAAATAATGGTTCGGATCTGGCAAAGCTTTCCTCAATGTAAAAAGCTTTTTCAAAACCAATGAATAAATAAAACATTGGTGCATTCATGCAGGTATTATACATGGCAGGAAACTAAGTATGGCAGAGGCATCATGTTGTGTGTACAAGTAGTGATAGGTGTGCAGCTATGTAAGGTGAAAAAGGCCCTTTGTGTAACTTTTAAAAATTCTGTTATGTAAACTCGTGAAATACATTTCTAATTTGAGAAGCTGGAGGCTAAACTAAACACAATATAGCATCCAACTGTTCCTCCTTTTCCTTTCCTTTTAACTTATATAAGTGGACTAAGAGCACTGTATGGGTAAAGGGTTTAAGACTCTTACCCCACTTTTCCCATCTCAATGCCATCCTGGCAACAGGATTCCATCCATTAGCAGTAAGGTAATGTTGAACAGTTCATCCTGCTAGTACATGCTTCCTAATGTCGTGCTGATTGAAATGTTTTTTTTTTCCAGTTTGCACCTCTAATGGAATAATTTAATGCATTTTTTCACAATATCTAAATATATAAATTAAATCTTTATTTCAATCTAGATTGTCAAAATGACATTTTGAAACATAGCATCTCCTGCATAGAAAAAGGTAAGCTCCAGGTCATTTTTCACTAAAGTTTTGTCCTTAACAATGTAGAACAATCTTTTTAACCTAAACTAACATTTCTCAATACTAAAAGTAACAGTGGCCCAAAAAACCGTCTGCTAGACAATCTAACAATTGCAGGAGCACTAATTACTTTGGGTCATATGGGAAAAGGCAGTTTTTTGACCAGGGTCAATGCTTATTTGTTTTTCAGAGTCCTATTGTTACATTTTGCACATATGCAGAGCAACTAGAGTAGGCTAAGGAAAATACAACCCTCTCCAGATACTGGAGTGCAATGCCTTGCCAGAATAGCTACTGGTAAAGGATGATGAAAGCTTTAGTTTCCCAACATATGAAGGGCCACATGTTCTCCACTCCTTTCCAAAGCTAAGTGTACCCATGTGCTCATCCCGGCACATTGTTAGTGCTTTCCAACTTATTTCCTTTCTAACAGTTGCAGCTTCTGCCATATTTTTATTTCTCAGGCTTCATGGAATGTTTTGACTCTGCATTCCTTCACCGGCAAGGAGTTTGACTTAAATTTTCATTGTTTACATTTTGTGTATTTATTTTGTCCTAGGCTTCTGTTCACTTCTCACTCATGTGGCCATTTGAGGTTTTGTTAGGTACACTTTTCTCCTCCTCCTCCTCCTCCTCCTCCTCCTCCTCCTCCTCCTCCTCCTCCTCCTCCTCCTTCTTTTTGCTTTGGTGCCATGATGTTCTAATTTTAAAGAATGAATAAAATCATTGTGCATGCTGACTTGGTGTGTTGACCAGTTGAAATAACCTAGAATTTCTTTGTATTTCTCAGGAAGTCTGTGGGACCCAAATATCACTATATGCTACAGAGAATCAGAAGTGGAAGTGAATTTTACAACTAGTCCCTTTTGTTCTGAATATAGAATCCTCCTTTATGAATCCAGTATATTCAATGATCCCACAGTTCGTAATGTCTTTACATCTGAGGTATTTTCTTGTTCATAAGATACAAGATGGGAACTAGTTAAAAATAACTAAAATATTAGTTTTTAAATGGTCTTATGGGCAAAGCTCCTGGGTAAGATGTAACAATAAAAGGTATTATACATGCATGTATTGTTGTTGTTATTATTTTAAAAATTCTACAAGGGTTTATATAATATATTTTTCTGGGTTTTTCCCCATGCCACAGGGTAATGATATGAGGATTTCTCAAAGAATATCAGTGAATGATCAAAGTAGCAAAATTTTTATAGAGGTAAGATTTAAGGAAAACTATATTAATAATCCATGGAAATTCTACATATTGTTTCCAGTGAATATTTCATGTGCATGACTTTCTATTAGTGATCATATCTAAAGTTAAGTTGTGCTTTTATAAAGTATCTGTGGGAGAGGAATTATAGAGGTGGAAAGGGATGTTCTTCAAATGCTATGTAGCTGCTCCCAAATATAGTTAAAAATAATAATAAAAACTCTTGTAGCACTTTGAAGGCTAATACATTTTCTTGTATGCTTTACGGGATTAGCTCTCACTTTATCCAAGGTTTCTGGGCAGTCTTCAAAGGCAGCCCCACGTAGAATGCGTTGGAGTAGTGTATTCGGGATGTAATGAGTGTGGACCACCTTGACCTGACTTCCCAAGGAACGGGCGTAGCTGGGGCACAAGTTTTAATTGGGCAAAAGCTCTCCCGACCACCATTGAGACCTGAGGTTCCAGGCTCAGTGGTGAGTCCAGGATCACTCCCAAACTGTGAACCTGCGTCTTCAGGGGGAGTGTAACCCTGTCCAACATGTCTCATTGTTTTGAGAGATCATATCTAAGAACTACTAGATCCTCCAGCAAGATTCTATTGTAACTCTGGCAAATGCATGTATTGAGGACCTAGGAAATTCCTAGAAATGACATATTGTGTTAGATGCATGTATCGCCCCTTTGTGTATAGGAGTTGTATTCTAGTTCTGTACCAATAAATGCTTTCTCTCTCTCTCCCTCCCAGTTAATTCCTTATTTTCCAAGATGTGGAGGTGACTGCCGAAGATACTCAAATTATCAAGAACAATGTACAAATTATCAAGAACAAGGTCAGTTAAGAAATTCATATTTTTGATTAATTGATAGAAATGATGAACTATAGCTAGAGAGCTGGAATAATAATAATAATAATAATCATCATCATCATCATCATCATCATCATATTTATTTATATCCCACCACAATCTCAACAAAAGGACTCGGGTGGCTTACAAGGCACTCCAAGGTGCACATTTAACATACAACAGGTAAAAACAGTACAAAAGTATAAAACAAGTCATATAAAATTATAACAACAACCCCCATCAACACATGTAGCATAAAATCAAAATAATACAATTTTAAAACAACAGCCAACTAATGGCTGTCAATTCACAAGGTGACAAGTGTCTGCTTCATATGGGATAGGGAGGAAGTGCTGGTTTAAGTCCTCACCCAGTTCTGTGTGTGGACACTGGGAGAAAAGCAGGAAATAATTAGGAGTAACCCTGGTGAATTAAACTGTGGTGAAGTCTCCTTCTTTGGAGGCTTTTAAACAGAGGTTGGATGGCCATCTGTCAGGGGTGCTTTTAATGTGATTTTCCTTCTTCTTGGCAGGGGGTTGGAGGCATGGTCTCTTCCAACTTTATGATTCTATGATTCTGTGAATGTTTCTCTGATCTAACTGTGGGTGGAAATGGTTGATGGGCAGCGAGCATTCCCAACAGGAAGTGGCTCTTTCCTGGGTTGAATTTTTAAAAAAGAAGATTCATTTGTTGCAGGTACTCGCATATCAGTATATTAGCATTAGCACACCTCCACTTAACAGAAAATATGTTTATTCAGGTGCATGAGGGGGAAAAACAACAAAAAAAATTGGAGAGGCCATGGCTCTGAACCTTAAGATAATGGACATCATTAAAATATGGACATCAAGGGGAGTTTGCCATGTGAAAATGAGTGAGTGTTTATTGGGAGTTCATCATGGTGTGCATAATGTGTGTGGGGTCAACAGGGTTGATGTGAACTAGGAGAATGTGATGCCAAATAGAATCTTTTCTGTTAGTGTACATAACAAGCCTATCTATTTGCATCTTATTATCCCTTCATAAAATTGACAATGCATCTCTCTCCTCACTTGTTTGAAGTTGTTTGAGCATTTATTTATGAGTCTAATTTTTCTATCCTAGAACCTGAAATAGCTTTGGCAGGCAATTATGTTTACATAACAGTGGCTTTACTTCTGATCATATGCACATTTACAGCTGTACTATATTTCAAGAGGAGGCATGGTAAGAGTTTCTTTCATTCTAACGAGAAAAGCCATAAGACCATAACACTTTTGCTATGTACGTGTGGGGATGTCATCTCAATCCTCAAATACTTGTGGTATGGAAGGAGCAAAGCTTTATTCACATTTGGCTTTCATTTATTCCCTTTCTGCAAAAATACATATATTTGAAACCAATAGAGTGGAGTAGTTTTCCCCCCCATTGTGATACATTTGTTTCTCAGCTTACTCTTTTGGATCCATGATAGTATTTATTTATTTATTTACTGCATTTCTATGTCACCTTTCTCAGCCCGAAGGCAACTCAAGGTGGCTTACACTGGCACAATTCGATGCCACAATGAACATAAACAAAATTAAAAACATTTAACACACATTATAAAAACCCTGTAAAAAAGCATTAAAAGCATAAAACACCAGTAACTTCCTATTAGCTCATTTTCCAAAGACATTGTCAAGCCGTTCCATGTTCATTCTTTCTTGGGTTCCATATTCATAAATTACACAGCGTTTTCAAAGGCTCGTTCAAAAAATCAGGGTTTTTTTCTAGAATGTCAGTAGGGAGGGGGCCGATCTAATATCCTTAGGGAGGGAGTTTCATAGCTGAGGAGCCTCCACTGAGAAGGCCCTGTCTCTCGTCCCCACCAGGTTGCTAGTATAGGACTATGTCCAGAGTAGTATCACATGCTTTAGGTCAGATCCAGTGTCCCTTGAGCACTTTCCCCTCTTCTCTTCCATCTGGGTCTGCAGAACAATTTTATATTGGTGCAGATGGCCACAGTGAATGTGCTATATTTTATGTTCCTAGACAATACCGATTTCTAGATTTCCTCTTATTGTGTGCCTTCAGGTTGTTTCCTACTTACAATGACCCTAAGATAATCCTATTATAGACTTACTTGGGGCTGGCAGTGTGTGACTTGCTGAAAGTCACACAGTGGGTTTCAATGGCCGAGCGAAGATCCAAACCTTAGTACCCAGAGGCATAGTCCAACACCCAAACCACAACACTATGCTTACTCTCGCCTGTCAATAAATTTCTTTCTTTCATCTATCTTTTTAAAATATGCATTTGTAGAAAGTGTATTGCTTTAAAAAATATGCATTTTTAGTAAGAGTAATGCCCATGATAACAAATGTTTTTTTTATTTAGAAAAGCTACTTAAATCTGTTTGTTCCAGAAGGCTTTAACAGTGTGTACTTTTAATTTTATTAATAGGTGTAGCCAACAACAGGGTTTTCTTCTATCGTAAGGTGAAACCCATACCTATCAGAATCCTTATTATATATTCCCCGGATGCTTGTTTCCAACATATAGTCCTTGTGTTTGCTGAATTTCTACGTGAACGTTGCCGGAGTGATGTCGCAATAGATGTATGGCAAAGAAGGAAGATTGCTGAAACAGGACCAGTGCAGTGGCTTGCTTCTCAGAAAGAGACAGCAGATAAAATCATTTTTCTCAGCCAAAGCCATATGAGTACAGTTTGCGATTCAGTTTGTGAAAAATCAATTGAAAACAACAAAAACTCTGAAAGTATGTTCACTCTTGCACTGAACCTCTTCTGCAGTGACTTGAAAAATCAATCTTCCCTTCACAAATATATGGTTGTGTCTTTCAGTGAAACACAACAGGCTAAGAGTATCCCGAGTCTTTTGAACAGTTGTCCAAAATATTTTTTAATGAAGGATATGGACTCCTTTTGCAGAGACCTCTCAGTTTCGCTGCATGAAGGAACAAAGACAAAGTGCAGTTGGAGATCTAAGATGAAATTCATGAGTCTATAGTCTATAATACCATACTTGAAGCAAATTACTAGTAGAGGACTATGTTCAGGATAGGAGGAATCATGCAGCCCCTAGATGTTGCTGTATTACACTTTTCATCAACTTTAACCAGCACAGCTATGAGAAATGCTGGAAGTTGCAGTTCAGTATTTGGAGAGCTGCTTGTCTATAGGGCCATGGCTGCACCCACACTGCAGAATTATCAGTCTGATACCACATTAAATACCATGACTCAGTGCTATGGAATTCTGGGCTTTAATCATTGACACTGATTAAAAAATCCAGGTTTGATTCCTATTCTTTCTGGGGTATTTTTTGGAGAAGCATACATTTGAAAAAGCAATCTGAAGATATCTCAAGAAACTTCTAGAAGTTGAAAGAGAGATCTACAGCTACAACTGAAACAAAAAGTCCTGGAAGGTAACAGAACTTTCAGCCAGTGTGGATAGGCCTTTTGGGTCAAATGAGTCTTTCATCTTAAACTGATGGAAACAATGTTGTTTTCTAATGATATACAAAGAAAGAAGTTTTGTTTGTGTCTGCGTGTAAATACACACCTGCACTTAAATTAGGGGAACTCTCTCATCAGGACTATCTGACCAGTTCTAAAACTAAGATCCCCCCCCCCCCCAAAAAAAGAAGCTTGGATTCCACTTTCCAGTATCTGTACACCCTGTTTTTAGATTTGTTGCTCCTTTAGTTTCTTAAAAATTACTTTTACCATTTTCTGGATTGTATTTGGAGATCTATTTTAAAACTGTTGTAAGCAACTTTGAATGCTGTTTAGATAGTGGAAGGATAACACACACACATAATCTGAAATAAACAGGCCCATTGCAATTTTTAAGAACAGTTTTAGTGTTCCTATTCCACTGTTTTTATCCTGCTGCTGGAAGGTTTCAAAACACTGATTACAAACTCTAAAAGGAAACAGTAGTGCATATAAATATGACTTATTTCTATCACAATATTATAGAATATTTTATGTATTTTTTGTAGTTTCAAGAAAAATAGTTTCAAGAAAAATAACATTGGTATGTGTTTGAGTATCTTTGTTAACTAAAGTTCTGGAAATTGCAGCTACTGCAACTAAGCATCCCTGTAATAGTCAACAATAGAAACATATATGACAGATGACTTGCTGCTGAATGTTTCTTCAAGTCAATCCAGTAAAGAGATGTCCAAAATCTACAAACATCTCAAAAAAGATTATGTAAAAAATGTAATTTTCTTTTGCTTTTACTAAAAAGGAACTCTATGGAAAAATAAAGATGGGGTTGGCAGTCAATGATCGGTTTCATGATGTTCTGCTTCAGAATTATTGGTATGTTCACAAATTATTGTACTAGATCAAACCAGCAGATTGCACAGAGATCCCTACAAAGTATTTAGAAATCCTCTTGTATTGTTATGCCCCCATTTTTTTAGATATTACAGGAGATCTATCGTATTTTTTCTTTATTTTATTAAAAACACAAACATCGGGATCATGGGCATGTTTGGAATTCTAAAGGAAAAACATTAAAACCAGCATCCCATCTTCTCTACACTTCATCACCACACAAAAGCGGCTCTTTCGCGTAACATCCGAACTCCAAAGCGCTGCCATTCCCGTTGATATATCCAGAGCTCCTGTGTTGTATCCAGACATGCTAAAACGGCACCCCCTTTCCAGGCAATCAAACGAGGGTCCATGTCCTGGGTTTAAGAAAGGCATGAACAAAATTGGTCAGCCAGTTAGTGAAATCTAAATAGCACAACCTCACATATGTGGTTTTCATGCTATTCCTGTTCAGAAATGTGGCTAAATTTTACTGCAAAATGTGCTTTCTTTTAAAATTCCTTGATTATGCCCATAGGTACTCATCACCACAAAAATACACAAGAAAGCTATAAAATGAAAATGTTGCTCATCTATGAATGAATGAATGAATGAAGCTTTATTTATATCCTACCCCGTCTCTCAAATGGATTCAGGGCGACTGTCAACAAAACAGTAACATAAATAATAAAACACATAACAAGTGATTTTTTTTAAATCACCAGAAATAAAACTAGTCATAATAAATAAAATGGAAAATAACTCAATGTTACAATCAATATAAGACTATGTGAAAGTTTTATATTGGATAACTAATCCTATTTTTTTAAAATTAACTAGAGGACGATGACTCTTTGAGTCTTGTCTGTTAGTTGAGTTCCTTCTAATACAAAAATGGGCAATTTTGATGGGTCCAGACACCAGGCTTCTACTTTGGCACCTTCAGGAACCACATTGACTGCCAGAAATAACAAACCATTAAACAAAAGCTGTGAAGATGACCGTAATCCCTAAATATTTTTCAAAAATAAGAATTTTATATTACTAAAAGTGAGGGGAAGGACCTGCAGTCTATTCAAAAGTGAACTGATGTTCCTGGAGGCTTCCAGGATGAGCAATACATATGGTTTTCCATATATGTGGGTTTGACTTTTGCAATTTGCAAATTTGATTAATATTATTTTGGGAATCTTGAGGTTCTCCAGCATGATTCCATAAAGTCTTGCTGGAGGACCTAGAGATGCCTAGAAGGGTGTTTTCTCAGTAAAAAAATGTTTTTTATTATTCAATTTTCCCACTTTCACAGGGGTCCTATATATCCGTAAACCCACGCAATGTGAATGTCTGACTATATTATATTTTTTGGCCCAAAAAGAACCATCTGGGGAGTTTGTGTTAGACACCACAAAAACAACCTTGGGTTTCCTGATGCCCATTCCTCTTGTCAATAGCAGCTCTCATTATCTTATCCTTGTTTCCAACCATTATAGTATGACTTGAACACACACTATTTGCACATAAGTACCTTGGGTCTTGTAATGACTTCTACATTTTCAACAACTCTCCTGAAAGAGGGAGGCATTTTGTTGAGAATTCTGTGTTGAAGAAATTCCTGAGCTTTGTGAAACATCAGGCCACCTCCTACTACCAGGATTGAACTGTACATTTTCTTTTTTGTATCATCTGATGCTGAAAAAATAAAAATATGAGTTATACACTAAGTATACTTTAAATTTTAAAATAGTACAGAATTACTGAACAGCTATTTTAATACAAACTCACAACAGTTACTACGACAATTCCTTTGGACAAGGCCCTTTTCAATCTGAGCCATCTTTGAAGGCATGATGAAACAAAACAAAAGAAGTCTTCATTTGCCTAAAGAACAGTGATGAAGCTATCAATTTAACCTCTGTGAAATATACTGCTGCTCTCTGGGAGTATGGTGGAGTCTCCTTCTCTGGAGGTTTCAAAGCAGAGGCCGGACAGCCATCTGTCAGGGGTGCTTTGATTGTACTTTTCCTGCATGGCAGAATGGGGTTGGGTTGAATGGTCCTTGTAGTTTCTTCCAACTCTATGATTCTATGTTAGGAAGGGAGTTTCAGAGCGTGGGAGCACCCACTAAGAAGGCCCTCCCTTCTACACAGCCCTATACTCCAGAATATAAGGGCAGGAAATCCCACAGTATCTATCTGTGGACTCAGATAACTTAGTTCAAAGCAGATATTTTGGGATTTTCTGCCTTGATATTCTGGGATATAGGGCTGTGTGGAAGGGCCCTACATCCCATATCATGTGGATGCATGAGAGGAAACGGTCTCCCCAAAGATCTCAAAACACGAGAAAGAGTACAGCCATTCAAAGAACCTGGAAATTGATTGTATATAGCTTTATACATAACCCACAATTAACAGAATATAGGTAAAATAATAAGGATGGTGTCAAACTGCATTAATTCTACAGTGCAGATGTACCTTAAGAGACCTATCTTATGTACACTTATGAAAACATGCAATCTTTGCTATATTATCAAAATTAGTAATTGTTTTCTTACCACAACAATCAATGCTGTGTAGAATTGCTTTGTCAAGGCCTAATGCTTTCCCTTCAAACTGTGAAACAGCCGATTTTCTGGACATGTGAGCTGTCAGTGGTTCTTCAGAATCATTTCCACCAAGAATACACTCTCCATGAGAAGCACCTAACTCCACCTCCGGAGGATAGAGATTTTCAGCAGCATTTGCAGATTGGCCACGCATGTCGCCCTCAAATCCACCAGGCTTGGACTTCCGATCAGCTGTTGCTTTTGCAGACTTTACAATGCCAAAAAATAACAATAAGTTATCTTTCAAGAAGATCATATTACATTATAAAGCAAGTATATTCTCCAGAACATCTTTTTAAAAGTTGGAGTAGCCATGCAGTCGAGACAATAAACATCATTTTCTGTAAAACTCCAAGACTGTGTGTGGCCTTTAACACTAAGTAAAATAATAAAGTAACACAAGCAAAACCAGTTACATTTATTTACTTTGACAGACCATGTTCTGTTTGTCTATACTGACTATATTCATTTTTTTTTCATGTCGGGAGTGACTTGAGAAACTGCAAGTGGCTTCTGATGTGAGAGAATTGGCCATCTGCAAGGACATCGCTCAGGGGACGCCCAGATGTTTTACCATCCTGAGGCTTCTTTCATGTCCCCGCATGAGAAGCTGGAGCTGACAGACAGGAGCTCCCCCCACTCCCCGGATTCGAACAGCTGACTTTTCGGTCAGCAGTCCTGTCAGCACAAGGGTTTAATCCATTGCACCACTGGGGGCTTCTATTATATTCAATAGGCTTAGCACTTATCTTCGTCCAGTTCCACAATCTGACTTTCCAAAGACTGCTATCCAATTTACAGTAAAGACTGATATCTCAGTGGGGACAGCACTGTATTGCATCAAAGCAATTAATTACAGAAGGAATGTGAAAGAGGATATCCAAATTGTGGCTTATCTGCAGGCCTGCACAACCTGTGTCCCTCCAGGGGTTTAGGAGTCCGACTCTCAGAAGCCCTAGCCAGCTTGTCCAATTGTCAGGAATTCTGGGAACCAAAGCCCAAGACACCAGAAGTGCCACAGGTTGTACAGGCCTGGTCATATGGGAAGATCTGAAGCAAAGCAGCGGTCTTTCC